ATTCGTTTAGGGTTTTTTAGAGGTAAAAAGACAAAAACGACCCTTTTAAATATTTTTCCGTCGGCTAATTCGTAACAACACTGTATTAGGTTACTAAAATAGTCATAACTTTTTACTCAGAAATTGGATTGATGCGAAATTGGTGGAGTTGGAAAGTAGATTCAAATACCTTTAATTTGATAGGTTATGAGCCACATAACTCTTTATATTCTAAGAAATATGGTCGTTTGAAGTTGACCCAAGTAGAATCTTACATCAAAACTTAATCGATAAGGAAACTTCAAGAACACTTATCAAGAACTCATCAAGAAATTAAATTACTCAATATTTATGGATAGATTCGCAAAAGAAACTCATGATTGGCGTGTGGGTGAATGAACTCAACACTATGGAAGCTTACATACCTCAAATAACTAGGTTCTTGGCGAAATCTTGAATTTTTTGAACGAACACTTGAAACTTTGAACTTTTTCTCCTCTTGAATCTTCTCTCTAAAACCCTAAATGCTTTTGGAGATGAATGAAACTGATTCCAATCAGTTTAGACACTTAATTGGGTGTAATTCGTGTTTAGAATAAGTGGGGGTAAGGAAATGACTAAAATACCCCTCCTATTTTCGGGTAACTTACCTTAAATGGACAGCCTGACTTCAAAAGAACATATCTCCCTCATACGAGCTCGAAAATTAGCAAACTTGGTGGCATTGGAAAGAGAACTCCGAGATCTTTCATTTGATATCCTATGGGTCTCCTAACTCATCCTGTACTAAAAGTTATGGTCATTTGAAGTTGACCCAGAACTTAGAAGAACCTAGGAATGACTCAAATGAATTATCTTTAATTCGTTTTGGAACTCAAGGTGTTATACCTAGTGACCTGACCTTAATACTTAAGAAATTTTAAATTCCTTGGTAAAATCCTACTCACCACGAAGGATGGTTCGAGTGTTAGTTCAAAAAAATTCTGGGGTGTTACAAAATATTTTGAAATTATTTGGCTTAGCTTGATCGGTCACAATTCCGTAACTAGTTTGTACATCTTAAATTCTAAATATATTATTTTATGTGGAATTAGATATAAATTATTAAATTATATTGCAATAATCATGCATATTTTCTCTTTAAATATTGAAGTTGAATGTCATTCGATTATAAATAATTTTCATCCTATGTTTTACATCTTACTCTTCCTCTTCCTCTTAAATGGCTTACACATATACAGATGTGGTTGAACAATTCAATAAAATTGTTCTGAATTTGGATCTTACTTTTACCTTTTTTTAAAGAAAAAAAATATAATGTTCTCAATTTAAGAAAAAATATATTACAAGAATATACCATTTAATTAAGACTTTAATTAACAATATATACACACACTTTTTTAATTACAAACATAATTTTTAAATTACGAACAAGAGAAAAACTGATTGTTCGAATTTTATTATAATTAATTTAGTATTAATTTTTTCCTTTTTTTTTGGGTTATGTTCATAATTTATGGGGATAATAATTATACACTTTAATTGTTCCACTGCATCTTCTTTTTCCATTATTATTTTTATCACATGTAAATTATCTTCTTTTTCCATTATTATTTTTGTCACATGTAAGTAAAGAAATTTTTTTTCGTATCCTACCAACACTATTCTCCCAATAGCATTAATTCTTGTTGCATGTGCAAATAAGTAAAACTTTTTTTCCGTTTCCTACCATCTATTCTACCAATAGCATTAATTGTTGTCACTTTGTATGTATTTTGGTTTTAGTAGAAGTGTTTCTCCATTGTTGGCTTTACTTATTATCTATCTTTAGCTATTCTCCATAATTTCATATTCAGTTCATCATCGTCGGTATCTTCTCAGTTCCAAATCGTATTACGGGTTGGTGATTATTTTAGTTTCTTCACTTTCTTCAATAAAATCATTCAAAATGAAATTCATACCAGTCAAACATAATGTATTTGATTTGATAATTTCTTGTCATATTGTCTGGACATCAATTTGATACTCAATGGCTTCCATAGCTCTATCCACACTTGTTACACATAATGGATATTTAGAAAAGAAATCAGAATTGTATTTTTTTAATCAAAAAATACTTGAACACCCATATCATTATGAATCTTGGTGGAAATGAACCAGTCACGACATATTTAAGTTCTAACTCATAAATGGTTGTATCGACACTTATTGTGAAGCGATAGCAGTAATTAAGCTTTCATACTTGATGTTCGCATCATATATTACTCCTTCAATATTGAAATCCACATACTTTCTTGCGTTAAATAACACCTTATTGTTATTAAACAAGTCGTACATCTATAACATAATACAATTTATAATTTCATACGAAATTCAGCAATTTACATATAAAACAGAATGTTGTTTACAATTTAATTCAACATAAAAAATTGGTTTTCTTTTAATTCAAAATTGTAATCATGTTGGTATACAATGGTTTTAATAATTAAGTTAGTATACTAGTTATGTTTTACATAAGTTAGTATACTAGTTATGTTGTTATTTTGGTATGAAATACACCAACACAATCTACTAAGTACTTAACCAATTTAACGGTTGTTCTTTAAACTATCAATGTATATATATTAAACCAACCAAAAATCACAAAACATACAAACTACCAAGTTACTTAACAACACATATACCACAAAGACATACATATACACCAAACAAATTTGGTGTTTATAAATTATCTCAAATATATCAAATACACCAACACATCTATTAATATAAATACATTATAAACCATTTTAGCATATATATATATATATATATATATATATATATATGCTAAAATGGTTTATAATGTATTTATATTAATAGATGTGTTGGTGTATTTGATATATTTGAGATAATTTATAAACACCAAATTTGTTTGGTGTATATGTACGTCTTTGTGGTATATGTGTTGTTAAGTAACTTGGTAGTTTGTATGTTTTGTGATTTTTGGTTGGTTTAATATATATACATTGATAGTTTAAAGAACAACCGTTAAATTGGTTAAGTACTTAGTAGATTGTGTTGGTGTATTTGATATATTTGAGATAATTTATAAACACCAAATTTGTTTGGTGTATATGTATGTCTTTGTGGTATATGTGTTGTTAAGTAACTTGGTAGTTTGTATGTTTTGTGATTTTTGGTTGGTTTAATATATATACATTGATAGTTTAAAGAACAACCGTTAAATTGGTTAAGTACTTAGTAGATTGTGTTGGTGTATTTCATATCAAAATAACAATCAAACTGTTGTATTATCATTTATCTTAATAGTTATAGTCATTTTATATAGCGACATGATTAGCGTTTTTCTATTAATACATTATAAACTATATATATATATATATAGTTTATAATGTATTAATAGAAAAACGCTAATCATGTCGCTATATAAAATGACTATAACTATTAAGATAAATGATAATACAACAGTTTGATTGTTATTTTGATATGAAATACACCAACTTTAACTAATCACCAATTTAAACAACATTATTATTTTAAAATTTCAATATATATACCTCAATTCAACCAAAAACCACATACTTTACGCAATACCAAAAAAATTCACCACAACAACGTATACCAAATACAAACTTTTGTATACCAATATACAAACTAAACTTTTAAACATTCATGAATTTAAAACCCATTCTATATGTCAACCAAATTAATCATTTGATAGTAACAAATCATATTGAATACAAAAACTAACAACCAATCTTTTATACAAACTTAAATGACAAAAATCATTATGTATACCAAGATGTTAAATATTAGATATAAACAAATCATACGATATATCAAGTTACTAACCAATCATTGTACTAATTTAATTTCCAACCCCCAATTTATACCATTTGATATAAAAACACCATATTGTATACTAAAATAACAACCAGATTTTTATACAGATTGTAGTTACCACACTTTATACATCAATCATAGTCTATGTACCAACAAACTAAAAGTATATACATATACCAACACTAATAAAAATTAATAATAATAATTGAATTAGCATAAGATGTAGACCATGAGAACATGTTTAACACTGTATATGACATAAAATACAGTACGAACACTAAATAGCAATCACGAAAAAAATACCAAATATTTTAAATCCAATATGTAAAGCAATCACCAATTCCGTCAAGCTTTATTTACGCGTACATGTTGCATCCCATCATCCATTTTGTTGAATTAGAATCGAAACACTGTTCATATTCATAATTGAACAAACTTTCAGAACATAGGAGGTAGAGAGTTTGTTTTGGTTAAAATACCTCAGAGAGAATGTGTAACAATTTCAATTAAATGTGGAAGGTAAATAAAATAAAATTGGAAAAAAAAAAAAAAATGAGAGAAAAAACGTGGGTACTCACGCCTCTCTTATTCCTTTTTTTTCTACTTTTCCGGTTTTTTATTTTATTTCAACTATTCCGTTTTTTCTTAATTTTATTAATATTCTTTTCTATTTTTGAAAGAAAACTATTGCTATGTTGGTGAAAAATTAAAACTATTGTTATATAGTGGTTATTAAGGTGCTTATTTTGTATACTTATGTTTTTTTGCCCAAAATATATTGTGTTTAAGTTTAAGAAAAAAAAATATAATGTGTTCAATTTAAGAAAAAATATAACGTGTTCTATTTGAAGAAAAAAATATAATGTGTTTAATTTTTTTGATTTAAGAAAAAATATATCGTGTTCAATTTAAGAAAAATATAACGTGTTCAATTTAAGAAAGAATATAATATGTTCAATATTAAGAAAAAATATAATGTGTTCAATTTAAGAAAAAATATAATGTGTTCCATTTAAGAAAAAAATATAATTGTTCAATATTGATTCATTCCTAACAATTGAATGAATCAAAAAAAAATTTCTATCAAACACACCCCTAATTACCAACCTTTCTCCCCCTATAAATATGTAGTATATTCAGACTTGAAATTATTCACTTGAAATATAATTCTTCTTTGAATGATGAAGCTAAGTTTTGCAACCCTACTTTTGGTGACACTTGTTCTTACTTGTTTCTTCATTCCAGCCACTATAGCTGGTTCAGGTAATATATGTGACACTTTCTTGATCATCTATTAATCATCTTTATCTTTTACTAATAATATTTTTGATCTATCACTTTAACCAAAGTATTGTTGTATTTATTTAAAATTCAAGAACTTACACATTAATTTTGTTAAAAAATTATTATACACTTACTCTTCCAAGATGACATATAATTATTAGTTACACATTTTTATGAAAGAGAAAACAGTAATTTAGTCAAGATACACCCCTTATTTTCAATGTTTTCTTGTATGCGTCAAAATGGCATTTGATCATGAAATGTTTTCACTTATTTTTTTGGAGTCAATTTAATTATATCGTTATAATTAATGAGATGGAGTTATGTTTTTTGCAAGAAGATTTTTGTGATTCAAAGTGCAACGTTAGGTGTTCAAAGGCAGGACGACAAGACAGATGCTTGAAGTACTGTGGAATATGTTGTGAGGAGTGTCATTGCGTTCCTTCTGGAACTTATGGGCACAAAGATGAGTGCCCTTGCTATAGGGACAAGAAGAACTCTAAGGGAGGGCCTAAATGCCCTTGAATTTACTTACTCTTTAGTATTTACCCCAATTGTTGTTTGTCAAAAACAAAAATACAGAATGATTATTATGAAAAAAATAAGTGAACAAATGGGGTTCTTTTGTATATTTTATTTTTTGTTATTGCTGAATTTGCCGAACTTTTACAGCTTGTTTGAGTACTTGTTACCTATGGTATTATATGTTATTGGCGAAATGGTCTAATAGACCCCTATACTTATATGTGTTTGTATTGTGAACCCTTTTACTTAACTCTTTATCAATTGAACCCTTAAACTTAATAAAACACAATTTATCAAACCACTCTGATCAGTGACTAGGCTTATGTGGCATTAAGATGGTTGAGTTGGCAAAAGTGTGTGAATTCACTCTCGTTAAGGCGAGTGATATCCTATTTAAGTTAAAAAAATATTAAAAGATTTTTAAAAAATAAAACAATAAAATAATAAAAAAATTTAAAAAATAACTAAAAAAAGCTTTCTTCTTCAGCCAACCCGTTCACCTCCATTTTTGGCCATCTCCGTCCCTGTCCGATCCATTTTTCTTTCTTCTTCACACTCTTGTCATCTTCTTTAGCAGATCTTCACATTGGCACCTAGAGAGAGACGACGCAGGGCAGTGGAAGAAGAACGAGGGAGGTGAGGGTGGGATCTGGTCACGACAGCGAAGAGGTTTTCCGATCAGATCTGGTGGCCATGGTGCGACGGAGATGAAGACGGGTGAGGAAGAGAGTACGTATGGTCGCCGACAAGAGTTGCGACGATGACTCAGACGAAGACGACGGCGAAGGGCTTAAGATTAGACGGTTTCAAGGTAGGAATGGGGAGATAAAGTATGGAATTTCAAACTTTATTTTTAAAGAATAAAGTAAAAAATTTATTATTTTATATTTTATTATATAATTTTGGTTAATAGTTTTAAAAAATAGTCAATAAAGATAATTATGGCATGTCATTAATTTAGGTGACGTGAATTTGATAAATCATTTATTTAAGGGCGTGTGAATTACACACATGATAAGAGGGTTTAAAAATCATCTTTTGGTTGAGTGTAAGGGTTCAGTTGATAAATGGTTAAATACAAGGGTCCATAATACAAACGCCTACAAGTATAAGGGTCCATTAAACCATTTCGCCTATGCTATTTCTGTTTGAAATATAATAACTATTTATTTTGATTATTACATAAATTTTAAGAAAAAATAATAAACATTTCAATTTATAATTGAAGTTTTGGGGTCAAATCTTTCTATTCATGTTTTAGTACCCTTCTAAATATTTTTAAAAAGAAATAAAGTATCACCCTAAGAATTGAAGTGGCAGGAAAAGTGATTTCAACATATTGTTTTTTTATAGTAATTTGTATTAAATATATTTATTAGTTACGTTTTTTTTCATTCCTCTTTTCATTTCTTCTATTAGCTCTGAAAAAGAAAACACATGCAAAAATTAGCTCTAACAATAAATCAAAAAGACTACTAAAAATTAGACTAGATAATTAATTATGAAAAAGGGCTACAATTAAAAATGTGCTGCAAAATGACCCTATTTCATCAAATCTAAAAACTAGGTTCATTTTCAACCAAATCCATCTTAAGTCTTCATCAAATCAATTCAAATGTTAGATGTAAACTACTTAAGATGTTCAGAATCTTTTAAGATATCACCTACTCGAAACAAAGTCTATTTGTGATAACTCGAAATTCAGAATTAAATCTTGAAGCTTCGTTTAATGATTGCTTAAGAAATTTCTGCACTTTGTACTTCACATTTTTTTTCCTGAACTCTTCTTTTCCAACTTTACACAATACACTCCAAGTGGTTTTAGCATAAATGAGTCGAAAATGTCAACCTAATCCATCAACTTTGAGTTTTTGAAGGTTTAATTTCATTTAGTTTCTCTGTTGCGTTGTCGGTGACTAATTTATCATCCTCAAAGACCAAAATTGTAACGACGTGTCTCATCGTTATGCGTAGTTAGGACCATAGTCCTTGTACAAGTCCCCATGGGTTAAGAGTTGGAAACAAATAAAAAACTGGGAGTTGGGTTCTAGCTTGCCGCGAGTGCTTCGCAATAGCAAATAAGAGATTCTCCATCATAAAGGTCCCTATCTCGCGGAGGTTCACTATAGCAAAGATTTTCTTTGCCATAGCGAAGAACTTTTACCATAACAAAGGTTGTGAAATAGTAACGTGACTTCAAGCCCTTCTTTTCACCCAATCTTGGCCAGAAGTTAAAATATTCGACCAGAGAACCTCAATGACAACTTTTCTAAGGTTTAGGAATTTTTATTTTTAGAGATAAACATTCTTTATCTATATTTTCAACCTTTAATTTAGTTTCCTCCTAAAATTGAAGGGCATGATCTTCATGTCGATATGAATTTCATGATTTATTGACTTTTGTATTTGACAAGTGTGTTGATGATTATATTATTGTTGATGTCTGACTTATAAGTTCTTGAGTAGGATCTCTTTCCATCAGCTTTTGGCAAGACCTTCTTTCTTCCACAGGACTCTAGGTTAGTTAGTTCAATTTATTTGATTATTAGTCATTACTAGTAGAATAGTCATGTAGTTGTGGATCTTATCTTGATACCTATATTTAGTTCATTAGAGGCTTCATACATGAGTTACACGAGTCAGTCAAGTCTTATTTTCAATGTTTTCAAACACTATCATTATTATTATTCAGACTTTAGATAAAGTTGTTGAGATAATTTTGTTATGTCTAAATTGTTTCGATATTCATATTTTATAAAGCTTCCGCATAAATTTGTTCAGTCTTTCGTACGATAGGAAGCCTGGCCAAAGGTTCGCTTGAGACCAACAAAATTTCTAAGTATTGCTCACATCCAGGGTGTAGGCTTGGGTTGTGACAAACTTGATATTAGAGCACAAAGTTTAAGTGTCCTAAGATGTGTATGAATCCATGTTTGTGGGTGTGAAGCGTATCACATCTATATGTTATACCCCGCAGTTAGTAGACCATCTAGGGCTAAGGGTGAGGGCAACAAGAGCCAAGGCAAGGGGCAAGAGCCAAGGCCAAGGGGCAAGGCCCAAGCCAAAGGCCAAGGCTGCCCCAAGCTTGGAGCACACTGCTCCAACTCCACGACCACCACCACGGCTCGTGGTGTGGTCCGTTAAGGCAAGGCAGTATCTCCTTAAGGGCTGCCTCAAAGTGGCTCACCTTCACGTGGTCTTAACTACGACTCGTGGGAAGGCCCATGAAGGTGCCTTAGTATTGTAGAGGCCAAGCCACTGGTCCATAGACCACGAGCAAGACCACGGCCAGTGGTCTTGACCATGGCTCGTGAAGCCCTATCGTGGTGCCTGGCACCATGTTGCCTAGTGAGGGTTTTTTTTAGGAAATCCCAAATTAGGTGGTTCTTGAATGGGGTCATTTTGCCTAGTCTTAAAATACCTATATAAGATATTTTAACCCTTTAACCAGCCCTATTAAGTCATTATTTCCCAAAACCTAAATCAAACCCTAAAGCTCTCCTCTCAAATATTTCTCTCTCTAAGACTTGAAGAAGAATATAGAGCATGAAGCGTAGGTCAAGAACAAGACTCCATTGTTTCAAGCGTTGTAAGGATTTTTATCCAAGGTATGTTAGCTTATTCATCCATGAATTCTTCCATCCATGGAGCCCCCTAAAATTCCCCCAATTGTGAAGATGAAATCCCCAATTCAAGTTAGGGTTCCTTCCAAAATTGTGGGTTTAGTTGAGTATGATTCCAATTGAGTGGATAGTACTTATATTTATGATTGATTTAGTATTGAATCATGATATATTGATGATATTACATGTTTCCCATGGTTAACCCTAGTTTAATTGATGAAATTGAAGAATGTAGTTTTGTGTCTTGTGAGGGGAAATTGAGGATTCATAAATGATATTCTAGAATTGATGATGTGTATAGTAATTGTTCAAGAATAGAAGTATTTAAACATAAATTGAATTACATTAAAGATTTTATGAAGGATCTTTACTAGTAATGAATGAGATTGAACCTTTATGATGGATTAAGACTAGAATTGCTTAAAGATAAAGCTTATGACTAGAATGTCTTGTGATCTAGATATGTATGATGGTTGTAAGAGGTAAAGCTTTGAGAGTAAGACTTGTAGTCATGAAGGTTGATCACTAGGGCTTGAGAGTAAATATAATAAGATGAATTATGTAAGTTAAGGCTTGAGAGTAAAATCTATATGAGACTAGATGACTAATGAATAGAATTGTTGTGGAAGGCCTTTACCTATCTAATCTACCTTATGAATGATAAATTGTATGAAGTGATAGAATCACTTGAGTTATGATGGAATCTATGTCTAATGTAATATTCTAGATGTGCTGATTTGATATGAGCTTTGACCCTTGAAAGGGTAAGATATGATATTATGCATGTTTTATGAAAGCTATGTACATGCCTTATGAATACTTTGAGAATGAGGTGTCTAGGATCATGATATGTTGTTGTGTTGTTGAAAGGACATTCTCATATACACACTCATGCATGAATATGATATGATATGAAAGGTTCTCTCACATAGAATGATTCTAGGTTGAAAGGCTATTCTCACCTAAAATGAATCTAAGTCCAAGGACTATGAAATGTGATGAGGTTGTGGTGATTCCCACAAAGACCTTTATATGAGAGGAATGTGAGGTGAATTCCCTTATTCCTATATGAATAAACATGAGGTGATAGCCCATGTCATGGTATGAGAAGTGTGTAGTGACTACCCTTAATATATGACTTCTAAAACAAGGCAAGAGGTGAATACCCATTAGCCTTTAGAATGATATGGAGGCGAATACCTATATCTTATTAAAATGGACATAGAGGCGATTACCTATGATCCTTATTAAGTGATGTGGAGGCGAATACCTATATTACACCCTAAAATAGATATGGAGGCAAATACCTATATCTTATTAAAATGAACATGGAGGCAAACACCTATGATTCCTTAAAATGTATGACTAGAGGTGATTACCCTTGCCTTTATGATTCC